CTTTACTATTTTCAAACCGTATTCTGTTTTCGATTTTCCAAAATAGTGAAAACGCATTCTCTTTCCCATTTTCGAAAACTCATTTTTGAAAACAAGTTAAAAATTTACAAAGAAAACCCAAAATGGCAGTTTGTCGTTTTAGATGTTTTCAGTTATAATCAAGTCAAAATTTTCAAAACGCGTTTTGGGTGTTTTCAAAACAATTTTTTAAAATACAAAGAAAAAAAAACATATTTTCAACAATCTTAAAATAGACACTCAAAACACAAAATTCAAAATGAATTCAAAACTATAAACTGAAACGAACTGCCCCTAAAAGTTTAGAGTAAGAAAACAATCATTTTCATGATTCATCGGAAGGCGAAGATATTATTCAAGGTTTCCATGAAAATCTTCAAACTGAAGAAAAAAAGATTAATGTTATTAATCGAATATGATACTGCAATATGACTATTGCAGTCAACAAAGAATTCAAGTTTCATACTAGAATCTTAATTGATTCTGGAGCCAATCAAAATTGCATTAAGGAATGATTAATCCCTACCAAACAAATATTTTGAAAAGTCTACCAAGTGTCTTTATGGTGCTAGCGGTAAAAAACCTCAATATTCAATACAAATTTTCAAAAGTTCATGTTTGTAATTCAAATATTTATTTCAAAGATATATTTTATTTAGTTTAGCACAAGAAGTTATTCTTGGCACTCATTTTATTCTTTAAATCTATTATTTTCAAGTTAATTCAAAATGTTTTACTACCAATATGTTGGGACAAAAAATATTTTTTGAATTTACAAATCATCAATCTTATAAATATGTGAATACAGTGAAAGAAGCATCAATTTCAAAATTAATTAATAATATTAATTTCAAAAGGAAACATATTCAATTTCTTAAAGAAGAAATCAAATTAAAGAAAAATTAAAAAATCCTTCAATCATTGAAAATATTTCTTTGATTCAAAAGAAAATTGAAGAAGAAATATGTTCTACTATTCCAAATACTTTTTGGAATAGGAAGAAACATGTTTCTCTTCCTTACAATTCTGATTTCCATGAATCCAATATTCCAACAAAATCTCATCATATTTAAATGGAAAAAGAATTATTTGATCATTGTATCAAGAAAATTCAAGATTTACTGGAAAAGAAATTAATTCGACCCAGCAAATCTTGTTGGGATTGCTTATTAGCTTTTTATGTCAATAACTCTTCTGAGATTGAAAGAAGAGCTCCACGATTAGTCATCAATTACAACTCTTCTTTGGGATTGCTGGGCCGAATCAACTCCAAGGAGATTTATTGGGCCGAATCAATTTCTTTTCCTATAAATCTTGAATTTTCTTGATATAATGATCGAGTAATTCTTTATTCATTTGAATAGGATGAGATTTTGTTGGAATATTGAATACATGAAAATCAGAATTGTAAGTAAGAGTAACGTGTTTCTTCCTATTCCAAAAAGCATTTGGAATAGTAGAATATATTTCTTCTTCAATTTTATTTTGAAGCAAAGAAATCTTTTCAATGATTGAAGGATTTTTTTAATTGTTCTTCAATTCTTTGAAACTTGATTTCTTCTTTAAGAATTGAATACGTTTCCTTTTGAAAATATTATTAATTAATTTTGAAATTGATGTTTCTTTCAAAACATTCACATCTTTATAAGATGGAAGATGTGTAAATTCAAAAAATATTTTTTCTCCCAAAATATTGGTAATAAGACCTTTTGAATTAGTTTGAAAATAATAGATTTGAATAATGAAAAGAGTGCAAAAAAAAAACTTCTCGTCTAAATCTTTGACTAAATAAAATATATTTTAAAAACTTTTGTAAAAGTCCTTTTTCAGTTGCTTGAAAAGGATAAATTTGAACAATAAAAGGAGTACCAAGAATAACTTCTTGATCAAGATCTTTAATAAGATAAAAAATATTTTTGAAACAAATATTTGAATTACAAGCATGAGTTTTTGAAAGTTTGCACAGAATATTGAGTTTTTTACCACTAGCACCATAAAGACGCTCAGTAGTCTTTTCAAAATATTTAGCAATGATTAATCATTCCTCAATGCAATTTTGAATGACTTCACATCAAACCAACGCTATTTAATAGACATTCAGCCTAACACCAGTTTCTCCCGTAACACAATACCTAAAACAATAAGACTATAACCTCACTCTAGACGCATATGGCTATGATACCAAAATAGGCCAAAATATGGGGAATAGCTCGAAGAGTGACAGAAAATAATAAAATTTAGAGAATATAAACTTTTGAAATGAAGAAATTTTTATTTGATAAAATTAAGAATTACAAGATTGAAAATTACAATATTAAAAGATAAAGAAAACATTAGAATACAAGGATAATTCTAAAGCTTTCTTGGAGATATTTTATCTCCCGCTAAAACACATGGGAGGTCTCGAGTCTTCTTTTTCTAATACTTGAAGTTTCGGACTTGAAACTATCTTAAATTGAATTAAAGAATCTTGAGGGACAATGTGGAGAACAATAATATATGTCCTTGTATCTTTGTCTCCCATTGTTTTTTTATGAAATCTACTTTATTAAAATTGTTTTAAGAAAGTTTTTTGTGCATTTTTTAGCATCGATAAAGCAAGTATGAATAGCTTTTGTGGTGACAAACACATTTAAAAGAGCACTTTTCTTGAACCTATCCAGAAATAATGACTCCTGTTATTGTTTCTTCTTATTGGAGGGGTGGCTCATGGGACAAGTTCCATCAAATACATCCGTGAGCCTAACACAAAACATCAAAAGTTGTTCTAGTAGAACCTGTTCCAATTATAAATACAGTAAGTTCACTCTCAGATTCTAATCCTTGGCTATACCATAATTTTGGAATATAAGAATCCTTGTCAACTAATTAAGAACATTTTGAAGTTGCTTGATTAATCATCAATATCAACTGTTTTGTTTATGTTCCATCTTTATCACATAATTTAATCATACTTCCAACATATTAAAAACATATACCAGATAACGTCATTGAGGTGACTGACACCTTATATTCTTAATTCCTAACATAGAAATGAACATTAAGGGCGTGTTCGGTAGAGATTAAAATTGGATTAAAATTGAAAAACTAGCCATTATAGTTGACTTTTATTAGACGAGTGAGACCAATAACAACTATATTTTCAATTTTAATTGAAATTTAATCTTTACCAAATGAGCTCTAAGACTATACACCAGCAACCAGGCACAAATAAGCAATTTTGTATTTTAAAACATTATTCTGGACCTTAAAAAAATTTACCAGTGAAATGCAGACGTTGACATTGATGTAGACTATGAATCAATTGTACAAATAACATTGTAGTAAACCTGCCCCATGCAGCTGTTCCCTTCAGAGGAGAAGACATAAAAATTTCTACTGATTAAATATTATTATAGTAGATCTGCCTCACCACTCAAACAATTATGGAGAAAACTATCAACTGTTCTTGAGCAAATTCCAAATTTTTTTTCCATATATGAAATAACAGGCACAACTATGGATATGCTCATCACAATAGTAAACCTACACTTGACACTGGGAAAACATGCCTATTAGACCAGAGAGCATGTTTGGCTGAGCTTAAAAGCCAGTCAAAGTTGGTTCTAAGTAACTTGTACCGGCCAAACATATTTTTCAGAAAACGAAGATGCTTACTTTTATTAGTATTTTTAATTAAACGATGGGTTCTTTAAAAGCTGGTCATTCCTTACAGTCAAAAGAAGAAGGTAGCTTTTTCATGGGCTTGACCAATGAAAAAACCATTCTACCCTTCCTTATATCAACATTACCATTTTTTCTTCTCATAAATAAAATAACATACAAGCTTTTTGGTTATTTAGCATATTAGTTAACTTAATAGAAGCTTCTTTGTCAAACATGCTCTTACTCATAACTACACTTTCCCAAATGGACATAATACTAAATTAGCAAACTTACTTTTTTACTTCAAACTTAGTTCTTTTTAGGTTTAGCCAAACATGCTCAGAATATAATCTACATTAGTACATAATGGAAGTCGTCAGTAGATTTTCACCCCAGATATCAATTAATGAATAAAGCTGCTGCATTACATAACACATATCATTAATTTGAAGAATGTTCCCAAAATGATAAACAAACTAAGTTACGAAAGGGCTACACCAATTTGAAGACTGTTCCCTAAAGAAACGGGCTATAAATTCAAGTCTGGATACCCAGCCAAGCTAACTCTTCTACTAACATCTCCTTACCACGATCAAATTGATGCAGTTTATAACAGAGCCAGTTAATTATATAAAGTATCCCAAATTAATTGACAACTATTTTACAACTTTTCAGTTGTCACAACTGCACTTCGTAATTAATTTAGAAAATAAGATATTGTTTTTCACAAGTGGTTTTCATGAACCAAATCACAATCCTCATCTAAATATTAGATGGTGCAAAGTGCAGATTCTATAATGTAGCTATCATCATGTACAACTAGATAGACAACAAAAGATTCCATTTCAAGAAAAGATAACGGCACTTTAGAGACAGGCATATCAAAGGCACTATGATGTCTCAGTACCAAACAAAAAAGAATTTAATAGCGAATCGACAAAAAATCTATACAACTAACATCCAAACAATTTAAGAAAATAATTGTATATTCTCCAATCACTCAACTGTTCCACGCAGCTTGAATTAAAACCAGAATGAAGTTCACATTACATAAAAATAAAACCCACACGAACCAGGTGTCAGGGTACTCTAATCCTGTAAATTTTCTAGTCATGTATTATGCATTAGGGTCATCAGATCTGAAATAAGCAAATTCCTTAATCACCCAACTTCTATTTTATCTTAAAATTTCAATGGTTAATACCAAAATCCAATCAATTTCAGCTTCAACTGAAATAAACATAAATAACAAAACTTTAAAGCAATTGACCCACAATTTATAATTGAAAACAAATACAGCTAAAACGACATTGAGATAAAATCATTACACAACTCACCTGAATGCCGCCTTCCCCGGAATTACACGGAACAATGACGGGACCCAACTGGGGCCGCTCGACTGCCACTTGAACCGGTACACTGAAGCCTTTACGTGGAAGATGCTGAACTGGAACTGCAGTCGCAGCAGCAGCAACGCCTGATGAAGATATACTCGCGTCAGTGGATTCAGCGTCTTCAATCTGCCCTTCATCCCTTGCAAACCCTAGAAAGCCCGCTAATTTCTTAATTAATCCCATCTTCCGCTAGATATATAGTTACATATATACACACATATAGTTTGTCGATACTTGACGTAGGATTGAAAAATTGCAGCTATCGCGATCGATGAAATTTCAGGTCAATTGTGCGTAGTTTTCAGAAGAAGGGGTTTGATTAATTGATCGAGTTTAATATAAAATCAGGTTTACCACAAAAAGCGGTAAAATTGGGGGAAAAAAGGGGGGACGATGTTAACAAGAAATTCTTAGAATGGATAAATTCTAATTTTGGTTGGATTAGGATTAGTTGTTGAGCCTCAAGCCCAAGTATTCGGATAATTGAGGACTTTAGACAATTGCCATTAAAATTGAGACCTTTTGAAAATTGGACACCATTTGCGGGAGAATTTTCAAAATGACCTAGTCAAATGGCTTATTT